GTCCGCGCTCGATTGGGCCATTCGAGTGCGATGTGACACAATCGCTCCATGTATAGATGCGATAGTTTGAGGGGTGCGTTACCTTTTATATCGTCGATGCCAATTTGCGCCGTCGGTTCATCAAGTGTGAAGAAGAGCTTCCGCTGGTACTTGGCTGAGTCCGTGATCGCGGAGGCGAACGTCTTGTTGATGCCTTGGGAAAGCAGCAAGGTACGCTCATCCAGAAGATCGAGAATGCTCTCACGAAGCTCCATAATTCCGAAAACACGTTCGGACGCCATTGGTGCTGCGATAATGTTCGCAGTAGATGTTCGTTCGCACAGCAGCTGACCGATGGCCAAGGTTAAGGTATGCGCAAACGCCGACGGTGGATTGATGCAGATGCAGACATGAAAGCAAGCAAACGAAACATGCAGCGGGCCGCAGCCTTGCATGTGATGCGGCAACCCGTTTGAGGGCTGCGCCGGAACATTCACTCGTCCTCTTCAAACATCTCGGTACTGTCAAGGTCGCGAAGGATACCCTCGACTTCTCTCGGATCGCTGATCCCCCATACACCACCGCCTTTCACTGCGCCTTTCATCCCAACCTCCTTCCCGACAAGATTGCGTCCAACCTTCCCAGGACCAATGCCAATCCATCGCTTCACTTTCTCTTCAGTATGCAGGTAGACAATGCTGTCATGCCACAGCACCGTTTCAACGCACTGCCGCGCAAGGTAGTCCTTTAGCTGCTGCTTGCTCTCGAAAGGTCGCGCTGACAGGTTCGACACACAAGGCATGATCCCAGGCCAGATGACTGTGTCCTCACCCTTCGCTACCTGGGAAGGTTGATCGAGTAGCTTTTGTAACACCACAGCGGCCGGCTTCATCAATGGGCTGTGGAAGGGCGAATCGCTCTTCAGTCGCACAGCCCGAGGATCGTGGCCTGCAAATTGCCTCAGATGCGTGAGAAGCTCGTTGATGCGCTTGATGCTACCAGATAAGACGATCTGGTTCTTCGAGTTGACGTTGGCGATCAGCACCTGCTGGACAGCTGGCAAGTCGTAGTCCATACTACTGTCTGCCTTTGATCCTTCGCCGTGATGGCCAAGAAAGTCGTGTATTGCCTCCACCATGGGACCAAGATGTTGAGCTTCGCACACCAATGCAACCATTCCGACCTCCTCTCCTACTTCTTTCGAGCATCGCGCCATGACCTCAGCTCGCCTTCGCACCAGTCGCAATGCATCGGGCTCTCGAAGGTTACCAGCAGCTACCAGCGCCGCGAACTCACTGCGGAGTGGGTGTGCGAGTTAGCGAGTGTCTTGCGATCCATCAATTACCCGTCATTTCTTACCCGAGACTATGACCCAATGTGATGTCGACGCGATCTTCTAACTTGAACCCAAACTCCTTTTCCAACACCCGCAGAATGATGATCGAGGTCATCATGATTGCCGGCTGCGCGTTTTCGGTAGCGGTGAGCTTGCTGTTTGGGCCCTCTGCTATGATCTTGCTCAATGGCACCTGCAGGATCTCATCCACCTCCTCCAACATTGGCTTCACGGTACCAGGGAATGCATCAAGCCAATCCTAGCAAGACCCGATTTGTTAGTATTTGCCTCTTCTCCACGACCAGCCTACCATATACCTACAGTAGTCATTCCTACTCGCTGAACGCCCTGGCCTGGAAAGAAGATGGCAGTCTTCGGGTGCTTCCGAGGCGTTGTCGATTGCCATCTGACGTTCGCGGCTTTGTATGCCGCTGCTCGCAGAGACGATGGCAGGGCCAGTACGGACGCCATATCTGTTGGCCTTGCAGGGAGCTGTCTCCTGAGTAGCGTTGCCATGTCGTCCGCTGGGTGGTCGAGCCGTTGTCTACCAAAAGCCAATCTTTATCCGCGTGCCATTCCCAGCCGGTCGACAATCCAAGGTTCGCTGTAGAAGGTTATCAACAACGTGGAAGAGCGCAATGCTTCAACACACAACTCCATGCTGCCCCACTGAGGTCTGCTTGGAGCTCGGCCGGGATCGTCCGATCATCCGAGGCACGATTCTTGACTTTACTTCCACCTCACTCCTCCTGGTGACCCCAAACCTCGACGTAGACCAATCTGCGGTTGGCGCGTCATCACGAAGATGCTCTTCGTGTATAGCAGTTGATATCTGGACCTGTAGATGCTGCAGAGCCGCCGCTCGTCCAACAGTCTTCAAGATGGCAGGGCCCTGCCCTACGCAGCACCCAAGCCATGATCCTTCCTGGAACTTGCAAGTTGGCGTCTTGGTGTCAATTGATATCGTGACCAGAGGATGACTCTAAGCGGGTACTGACTGTAGTCTGGACACGATCGATTCCAAGCTGGCGACTCAGCCCCAGGGACCTCAGCCTGGCATAAGCATCACCAATGCATCTCGGCTTCGTCTGTCTGAAGCGGGCTGATGGCTAGGTAATCCTCAGCTGTCCATACTTCTGCAACCCCTTCAAAAGAAAGACCTTCATATCGACAAAACGAGCTGCGATGTCCGGTGTTTTCTAGTACATGCTGAAGAGGCCCTAGATCCGCGGCGTTGGACCATCAATGCTCTTGGTAGCCAATGTGCCATCCTACCTGCAGTTGGGCCTCTCGTCTAACAAAGGCCTACATTCACTTCCAAACGCTACGTGAACATGCCCCACTATTCACGACTGCGAGGCCCTTCACCGGTCTGCATATACACATTCGAAACGCTTCCAATCCCTTCTCGCTCGTATACTAGTCACAACACTGACTCACCAACTAAAGTCACAGCTTTCGGTCGCATACTTAAGCTAAACGAGTTCACAGTCTACAACACTTTCTCTCCAACAAATCACCGACATGACTACCTCCCAAGAGCAGACCACTGCCTCACAACGATCAAAACCAACCTCCAACATGGACACCGCCGACTACTGGACCAAAATCATCTCCACGAGCCTCTCGAAAGTGGTCCGCGACACCGACAGCGACTGCGAGGAGACTGGCAACCAACTCATCGATGAGGAGATCCTCAACGCGCCACGGCGAAAATCTGCTCGTGAGGAGCTTGCTCGGAAAGTGGCTGGTCGTCTCTACCCGTCTGCTGACCCTGAGTCGCTGGCACCCATCATCAAGTACGAGAAGGAGATCGTGATGTTGCGGAACATGGTGCTCGAGCAGCGTCGGCGGCAAGTTGCTGACGCCACAGCTCGAAATGCCAAATTCGACTGGGTCAAGCGCATCAGCAAGCAGGGTGCCTGGAGCGCAGAGGAGGATCCGTTGTCGTTGAAAGGTGCACCGTCCTTACCCATGCCGGTCGATGTGTCTGATAAGGTATGCCAGTCATCCTGATCTTGGTGTTCTCGAGATGTACTGACGATGATCTGCAGGAGTCACTGGCGCCCTTCTTCGCCCATCTACGCAACAACGGTACCAATGAGCCCACTTCCACTTCTTCAACCATCAACGAGAGCACTACCGGCGTCGAGCCATTCTACGGCGTCGAGCTCATCGAGTTCGAGAAAGGCGTACTCTACTCTGACGGCCGCATCGACTTGTGCAAAATGGTCACCGGGCCACGCAACATCGGCGACCTGATGGACTCTCTCGAGCCGAACACCTTCTCCAAACACTTTCTCCTCGGCAACAACATCATCGGGCCTGTCGGCGCCAAAGCCATCGCCGACTTCATCGAGCGCTTCCCAGAGCGTTTCGAGACATGGTACCTTGCCGGAAACTGCATCGACATAGCGAGCTTTTCAATTCTGGTCGACAGCATGATCAAGTCAAATGCGATCACCAATGTGTGGCTCAAGCGCAATCCGCTCGGCGAGAAGGCGGCAGAGGATGTCTTCCGCCTAATCTCGAACACGAAGAACCTCCGCACTCTCGATCTCGACCAGACCGAGCTGGGCGACGCAGGTATCGCGAATCTGTTCTCACTGCTCGCCAGCCACGATAAGTCACTCCCGCTCCGTCACATCTACCTCAACGCTACCGGCATTGGGAAGATCGCATGCACACAGATTGCCAAGTACCTGCAATCACCATACTGCTCCCTACACTCCCTCTACATTTCGAACAACCCAATCGGTGATGCAGGCGCTGCCGCCCTATCTGAGGGCCTCAAAACTAACACCAGCCTCAAACGCCTCTCCATGCAATCCTGCGGCCTAACCGCCATCTCCGCCCTCCTCTCCGGTTCCACCAACCTCGAGACCCTCAACCTCGGCCAGAGCTACGCCACTGAGGATCTTGGCATGCGCTACAACTGGCTCACCGATGGCAACGTCGCATCCATCGTCGACCTCATCAACACCGCATCCCAACTCAAATACCTCGACCTCGCCTACACACCCGTCACCCAACCCCAGCTCAACCAAATCCTCACCGCAGTCCAGGACTCCAACCTCGTCTGGTTCCACGCCAAATCCCTAGTAACAGGGGGCAAAGATGTCGCCTCTGTCAAAGCCGGGCAGGAGCACTCGCGCCTTGACGGGTTGGTGCGCAAGTATCTTCATGCTAATGTTGAGAAGGAGTATGGTGTCGATTACGTCAAGTTCGAGAATACGCATAAGCGATTCCTTGTGTCGCCGACGGATGTGAGGTTGATCGATTCGGTGTACCGGAATCGTGACGCTGGGGCTGCGAGGCGGGGGTTGAAGACGCTGCAGAAATGGTGGAAGGAGGGGGATGAGACACTGCAGCAGGTTCAGGAGGGTACGTTTGCTTGAGGTCAGCAAGGGCTCTTCCAGCAAACGACCTCATGGTGCGAATTGCTCGGGGGCTGCAAAAGGCTTAATACGGCTGCTTAGCCGTGGGCTCTGAGAGTAGCGTTGTAGCAGCGAGGCTTACAAAACAAAGATGCGAATCCGCACAGCAGACCATCTTACCTGCGTGCCCCTCCTGAAAGCGATTGGTGCCTGACCATGTCTTGACTTTCTACACATCATGACTAGCATCACACTGCAGTAATTCTGCTGTCTATATAAGACTTCTTGCATCGTTCTCGACTTGAAACGCTCCTGTGGTGTAGTGGTAACATACTCACTTAGGGTGCTACCTGATATGTGAGTGATCCTGCGTTCAAACCGCAGCTGGAGCCTCTTTTGCGCGGAAGTCATTAGAGATCGGGATCCCCACCAGGCGCCTGTCAGATTGAGTGAGTGAGGTGAAGATGTAGAGAGTGAGGTGTCAAGAGTGCTTCAGATGGGTATTGGGTCTGTAGTACACTCTGTTGTCGCAAGTCAAGGCCAAGTGGAAGTTGAACCTCTACACTAAAGCCATCGGTCTGCTCCTCCTCCTCCTTGCACAAACGTTGCATCATCGCCCATCAGACCAATTCGTCTATGAGTCCTCGACAACGGCAGTCTGGAGACCCTTGGGGTTCTTGACGTTCACCGCCTGCACGTAGCTGTACAGCTTCTCCTTTGCACCCTCCTCGTCGTTGCGCTTTCGTGATACACGGACGCGAAGGCGGAACGGTACACCCTTGATGCCAGACTCCCAGACCTTCTTGTTCAGCTGCGGGTCGAGGCGGACGTCGGTGGTGCCCTGTAAAAGCATAAATTTAGCACGCAACCCCAGCCAAGATCCAGATACTCGAGGGAGTGGATATTGTTGAACATACCATGGCCTTAGCAGCAAACTCGCGAATGGCCTTGATGGCCTTCGGTGCGCGCTTCTTGAACGACACGCCGTGAACCTTCCCGGTATGTTAGATCTCTCATGCTCTTTTACTCAGTCTTCCGCCCGATGCCAGCCTGCGCAAGGCAAGGTCTGACCATCCGTGGACTTCATCAAACTGAACGTACATGCTTGTGCAGGTGGATGGTGTATTCACGTGCGACCACGTCCTCGATGGCGCTGCGGCCCTGCTTGCCGGCAGCGGGCTTGCTGGGCTTTGCTTGCTTTGTCGACATTGTGAGGGAGTGAGGGTGATGGGTAGGAGGTGCGGTGGTGTTGTCGTCGTCGAATGCTGTTCTTCAATCGCAAATGTTCGGATCGAGGTCGCGAATTCGATGTGTGAGCGGGTAAGAGTGGGCCTCGGCAGCTAGCCGCTTTGAGACCTCATGTCGATGATCAGCAGCAAGATCATCATCAAACAACACAACACCACAATCCATGGCCATTGCTCGATGACACTGCTGCTCAAATGCGTCGCGCAATAATACAGAATCTGCGCACCTTCCGCCGACCAAATCCGCGCAAGGCACTCAAACAACTTCGTATCACCAGCCCCTACAATGCCTCCTTCCAGCGCTCGATAGCGAACCGGACTCCACCTTCACAGCTGCAGCAGTCGATGCGGTTCACGCGACGAGTCTCCACGCCAATTGCATTAGTCGGGGTCGGCGCGGCGGCATATTATGTGTATCAGCAACAAGGCTCTTCCGCCAGCACTCCGGAAGCCATACCAACAGTCACCGGCACGGCGGCAGGATCGAGTAGAGGCTATAGCACTAGCGCGAGCCCACAAGCGCATGCGACGCCATCAGCGCAATCAGTAGACGCGCTGGGATCGAGTGACTTGCCAGAAGCAGTGCGGAAAGCGCTTATCGTGGACCAGGGCCAGCTGTACACCGCACAAATACCAGCAGACCAGCCTATCAGCAAGGAGACCGACTCATCCGGACGAAAAGTTCTGGAGATGCTCACACCCGAGCAAGCGAACGCCAAGCTACGGCGGAACGAGGAGAGCTACCTGGTCGGCAGAGGCGAGGGCGTGGTACGATATGATGTTGTGCAAATACCGAGCAATGATCCGATAGAGGACGATCACGTAGAAAAGATCGTGGAGGTCCCGGACACCATCGCGGCTGCCGATGCTGGAAAGGCGCGGTCAGACTGGATGTTCTGGGGTGTGTTTGATGGACATGCGGGCTGGACGACTTCTGCCAAGCTACGGCAGACGCTCGTGTCGTATGTTGCGAGGGAGCTGAACAAGACCTACAAGTCTGCTCTTCTGGACCCGACATTGACTTTTCCGACACCAGCATCAGTTGACGCGGCGATCAAGAAAGGTTTCATGACACTTGACAACGAGATCACGCACGACTCCGTCCAGAAGGTCCTGAAGCTGCAGTCTAAGGTGGCCGCTGCCGAGATTCTAGCTCCTGCGCTGTCCGGATCGTGTGCACTGCTAAGCTTCTACGACAGCCGATCGAAAGAGCTGCGCGTGGCATGTACCGGCGATTCGCGAGCAGTGCTTGGTCGACGGACTGGCAACGGCAAGTGGATCGCAACCGCACTGTCTCTTGACCAGACTGGAGGCACTGAGTCAGAAGATAAGCGACTACGAGCAGAGCACCCCAATGAGCCTTACGTGACAGCGAACGGGCGTATTTTGGGTGGTCTCGAGCCTAGTCGAGCTTTTGGTGATGCGGTGTACAAGTGGACGAAGGAGACGCAGGATAAGCTGAAGTCTTCGTACTTTGGCCGCACCCCTTCGAAGTACCTGAAGACGCCGCCTTACGTGACCGCCGAGCCTGTTGTTACGACTACGAAGGTAGACCCGACGAAAGGAGACTTTGTCGTCATGGCTTCCGACGGACTATGGGAGATGCTCACGAACGAGGAAGTTGTCGGCTTAGTTGGTCAATGGCTGGAGAAGCAGGCGTCCACCTCGGGCGTCAGTGGTGGCCGATCATCAAGCAGCGCAGGTGGTTGGCTGCAGTCTTGGTTCAGCACGCAGAAAGCATCTTCACTACCCATCGAGCATCACGATCAGAAAGACACGAGCGGGCAACGAGCACCAATCCGTCAACAGCAATGGGGTGTCCCAACCGGACAGGACCAGCGCTTCGTCGTCGAGGACAAGAACGCTGCTACGCATCTCGTTCGTAACGCCCTGGGAGGTAAGGACTCGGATATGTTGTCCGCGCTCCTGACACTGCCTGCGCCGTACAGTCGGCGGTATAGAGACGATTTGACTGTGCAGGTCATCTTCTTTGGAGAGGGTGAAGCGAATGGAAAGGTGGAGCTGAACAGTGAGGCTTCTGCTACCGCGAATGGCACGAAAGGGCCTACGAGTGCGGTGACTGGGGAGGTGAAGTCGAAGTTGTAATGTTCTTTTGACTTGGGGATTTGTGATATGATACCCATCTCTGTGTTTTCTGTAGGTGCATAGCTACGGCGCGTGACAAGATAGGTGGGCGAGGTTTCAGGAGCTCATCATTCACTGGCAGCAGCCTCATCAAGGCGTCAGTTGTCTCATCGGTCTTCTTCGAGTGGAAGACACTGCATTGTGGCTGACGGCTGCATGCCCACGTCTTGAAGGCGGGAAGTCGTGGTCATCCTTCTGCAACGAGAACAACCGGGCCAGATGAACTCTCTCACCCGCATCTTCGCAGCTCCGTGGAACTATGGGATGTACTAGGTAGCGGTGTGCGAACAAGAGCTTGTTCCCCACGAACGAGCGCCACCAACAACTCGCTTCTCATGCGAGTCGAGAAGTCTGCTTACTGTTACACGTGTCTGGCCAGCTCTGTCGCGCAGGCTGTTTCAGAAATCTCACTCCGATCCTGCGCGTCGCCCGCGCGGCTGCGGAAGGACTGCTACCCTAGAGTAGTGGTGTGAGTGGAATACGAGCTGGACGACCTCGACGTCTCTGCCCTTCCCCTTCCCTTTCATTTACACTGCTGCCTCTCAATCCAAGCAGCTGCGCTGTCCTTTCTCTTTCATCTCGCTCTTTGCGAAGTATCGTTGCGTCGTTAACAGAACGTAGTAGGAGCTCTGGTAGCGACATACGAACAGCAACGAGCACAATGGTCAACCTTTCGCTGAAACATCGAGTCAAGTTCGAGAAAGAAGCTACGCCTTTGGATGAGTCGGGCTACGAGGGATCTCAGAGAGTGCTCTTCGTGCTTTCGGCTGCTGTCACGGTCTTCAATGTGCTGTTCCTCATTGCTGGCGCAGTAACATCAGGTATCCTCGACTACAGCTGGTTTGAAGGCAATCGAGGCGGGCATCCTGCGTGGTACAAGGATGAGACTGTCGATGCGAAGAGGGTGTAAGCCATGTTGAAGCATCTCGCTCTCTGTTCTCGTTCTAATGGCAATGCGCAGACCTCTCGTCTTCCTTTACTGCACGACCCCTTTCGTGCTCTCGGCACTGAGCTTATTCGCAACACTCAAGAACCGGCGAAGCACTCCTTTCGGCATCGCTCTAGCTATCGGAGTGAGCACACTTGGATTCGTTTTCTGGATAGTACAACTTGAGCTTCAGAAGAAATGTGTTTTTGGCGTATCTCCTCACGAGACTCCCGCATACTGCGGTTTCTCTCTGCAGGAGACTTGGGACTCGAAGAGCTTCTGGAAGTCAGGTTTGGCCGTGGCCTATTATATTACGTGGTGCAGCATCTGCATGGTTCTCTTGTGAGTCTGAAGCGTTACTATATGACCTGCCATTTCGATTGCTGACATCCACCCGAGGTCCACGACATACCTTACTTTCGCGCTCGTCGTTCTGAAGCAGCGTCGCACAGCCGGCAAACCCAGGAGCTTGCCGCAGGCGTATGCTTACCACTCGGCGGTGGAGGAGACTGAGATGCACACCGATCGCGATATGCCTGACCGCAGCGCAGCGCCAACACCAGTTCCAGATGATGCAGGTGGTCGGCCACCAAGCTATCGGTCGGCGAGCCTCTTTCACGAGGATCTCACGCCCGAGAAGGAGAAAGAAATGGTGTAAAGCTGGCCAGTCCCGACGACCTAGCTGTAGATCAGTATCAAGGTGTCTATGCAAATACTTTGTCAGTCCTCGCTTCACCAAATTTGTTTCGGCTGCGGGCTGTCGCCAGATTATCCACTTTGGGAATGTCGTGGGTCCAACATATATCTGTAGACGGACAGCTCAAGAAGACAATGTCATCGGAGTCTAACGGAGTAACTGTTGAATGCCTTCACAGCAAATTGTAGTGAGCTACCCATATTTACAGCAGATCCAAGACAAGCGCGCGTCGACTATCGTACAGTCGGCGAGGCTCCAGTGCCATCGCTGCTGGTTCGCTGATGGGTATCTAGTGTAAGTTCCCTCCCATGGTATTACAGACAGGAGTGCGGCTGTCGAACCCTCGTAGACAGCTCGCGAGAGCGTAAAAGCAAG